GCTCACTGTCTCTGCAACGGGAGAAGCCCGGTTTATGAATAAAGAAATGATTCCCAGAGCCGCTACCCACAGGACACACAGGGCCATTCATCATTTCTCCCAGTGGAGGGTGATTAAACCGCATCATAAAGCCAGGAGCAATCTATCAGGAGGGGGTCGAAAGTTTGTTACGGTTTGGTTTTTGTTTGAAATCGCCAACCGCATCTGCAAAAGTGGAAGGACAGCTGAGGTCCCCTTTAGGTCGCGTGCTGCGGGAAAGCCGCGCTGGCATCGGAATGGGTTGCCTGCGGAAAGACATGAACTGAGGGCTGTGGACGCGTGCTGTCCTGCAGGGCCACACCCGCTGTGGACGTCTCTTTCTCTCCCCTGCCCCTCACCACCCTCCATGTCTCTGAGCTTCTACCTCCGCCTCTTCTGGTCCTCAGACCTGGAACTGTTGCCGGGTTTTGGGGTGCAGGGGAGCACTTAGCTCCCCTGAGAGGACGTTTTTCCAGGCTCTTGGTCTCTCACTCACCCAAGAATGGGACAGGGGACCATGCCGGGCATGGTACACTTGTAAATACCGGACCCCAAAAAGTTTTTACAGAAAGTGATTTATTTAGGCAGAGAAAGAGAAAAAGGAGAGAGAAAAAGATGAGAGACAGAAAAGCTTGCACGAAGAGTGTGGAAGGGGACCCACGCATGGAATCCAAAGGGGTGTGACGAAGGGGACTTTTAACCTGGGAGGAGCTCCCTCCCTCTCCAAGTCCCCTGGCCAATGAAAGCAATGCCTTTAAACTTCCACTAAAGTTACTGACTTCTGATTCTTTCCCGAGCCCTCAAAAATTACAACAGAAACTGTTACATCTCCCTGATGGAGAGGCATGGGAGCAGGCAGGTGCATGGCGCTGGGAAGTTCTTGCCCCTTGTGGACCCAGAAAGAAAAGAGAACCTTCTATCCCCCACCCCGCTTCACATCACCCAACAGAGCTCCACTCTGAGCTCACAGCCTCAGCCCCAGACCAGAGCTTCAGACCCCAAAACTCACGCTTAGCCCCACAATGACCACTTCCTAAAGTACTGAAGTGGACTCTATTTACAAAACACTATTCTAACCAGATGCAGTGGCTAGTGCCTATGATCCCGGCACTGTGGGAGGATCACTTGAGGTCAGGAGTTGGAGACCAGCCTGTCCGACATGGTGAAATCTCGTCTCTCCTAAAAATGCAAAAATTAGCCAGGCGTGGTGGCGGGCACCTATAATCCCAGCTACTTGGGAGGCTGAGGCAGGAGAATTGTTTGAACCTGGGAGGCAGAGGTTGCAGTGAGCCGAGATCACACCACTGCATTCCAGCCTGGGCAACAGAAGATTCCAGGCTGGGCAACAGAGTAAGACTTCGTCTCAAAAAACAAAACAAAAAACCCCACTATTGAGACTGGACAGGGAAAATGTGGCACATATACACCATGGAATATTATGCCATCAAAAACGATGAGTTTTTGTCCTTTGTAGGGACATGGATGAACCTGGAAACCATCATTCGCAGCAAACTGACTCAAGAACAGAAAATCAAACACCACATGTTCCCACTCATAGGCGGGTGTTGAACAATGAGAACACGTGGACACAGGGAGGGTAGCATCACACACTGGGGTCTGTTGGGGAGAAATAGGGGAGCGACAGCAGGGGGTGGGGAGTTGGGGAGAGATAGCATGGGGAGAAATGCCAGATATAGGTGAAGGGGAGGAAGGCAGCAAATCACACTGCCACGTGTGTACCTATGCAACAATCTTGCATGTTCTTCACATGTACCCCAAAACCTA